CAATCCAGAGCACAACACCAACCACAATGCTACTTTCACCACATCTCAGCTCCACACTGTTGCTGGATAAATAAAAATTCAGAGACTCTCACATACACTCTCACATTATCATTAATGTCTCTGACTCTATAAAATTAGGAGTCAAGATGATGGGAACAGCTAAAGAGACATGGGATTCAATCATTGACACCTATGCTGTCTGGAATGAGGTGATCCCATCTGAAGCCCAATGCATCCTCCAAAACATGAAGTATACAGAGAAAGCCCACATCTAGAATCTCTATATAAAATATACTGCTGTTGACAATCTATCTGAGTCTGAACATGAGCTGACAGACAAAGACTTTAGAAGGATAATAATATGTTCCATTTCCTGCATCATAAACTGGCTCCTTATCATTCTCTCTCTGTACCAATGCAAGACATCAGTTGAAAGAGGGCCAGATAGTTGACCAGTCTGGCTCTGATCTTTGAGTGAACCAGAGATACTGGGTCTGTAAAAGCAGGGTTTGAACCCAGCAACTCCCTTGAGAGATTTAGTGAATAGTACTGAATGATGAGTCTCACACTATTCAGTGTTCAGGCTCTTTGTGTGTAAATGCATTCCTATCCTGATCCAGCAGAATGAAAATCCTCATCTAGCTGACAATTGGAATTAATTTTGTTAGTTGCTGATTGCCATAAAAATTCTTTATTCAGAGACTAGTAACCATTTTTTACAGGATCTTAAAGATTTTACTGAGTATATACTCCAACCTTATTGAACAGAATTCTCAGCATAGCAAATTGAAGGTGGATTTTCAATTCTGGATGTTGGAACTGCCAGCAAACTATTCTATAGCAAGACTGGAGATACCAAGTTAGTGAGGCTGACATTTAAGAATGCCTTATATACACCTTCACTGGCAACAAATCTTATCTCTGTCAGCACTCTTGATGCAGCTGGATTTTACACAATATTTGGGGGTTATCAGACTGTCATCAAATATAAGAATAGAGTTGAGGTCTTTAGTAGACATAGCAAAAGTGGAATGTATGTTCTCAAGTATGTAGATGATGAAGAACAGATACCTGCCAGACACTTTTCCATGTCATTAAGAAGTGATTCTGCTTCACTATGCCAATGGCACTGATATTTTGCACATATGAGCATGGAGACAATAGAGTCAATAGTGTCCAAAAATCTAATTGATGACCTTGCTAGAGGAATCACAGACAGAAAAGTTGAGGGAAAGTGTGAAGACTGCTTAATAGTAAAGTAGACACATCAACCATTTGATGAACTGACAGACTCAGATGTAGACCCTCTTAAACTTATGATGACAGATGTAAAGTCCTAGCTATACAATATCAAATAGAGAGAAGTCTCACTTCATGCTGATTGTAGATAAGAGCATCTTATATAAACATAGAGTATTTTTGGCTGATAAGTCTGACAAGACTACAATTCAAGCCTTTGATTATTATTGCATCATAGCTGAAAACTAGACTTGTCAGCATATCAAATGTTTGCATGTGGATAATGCATTTACAGAGTCAGTGGGTCAACTACTGCAAGCCTTATAAGATTCTTCTCAAACTGACAGCACCATATTTCTCTGCTGAAAATAGATTGGCAGAACAAGCAATCTGGATTATGATTCAGGATATCTGCATATTGTTCTAAGACTCTAGATTAGCTTATAATAATACACAGATCTTTGTATCTACTTGCAGAGCTTATACTGAAGAGACATTGACATTGTAGGCACTGAATATCATACTCATTAATAAACTCAATTGATGAAGCAAGATTAGAAATATTATGTGCATATGACTATACAATATATCAGTTTCTATACAGAATATTCAGCTAGTATATACACCTTTGGATAGTTTATTTGGGAGACAACCACAAAATTTCTAATTCAGCTGCTGCTGCTTTGCATAATAGTATTCTCAAAATGGGAATATATTGCATATTAGATTGCTTAGCATAGCATTAGCAAAAATACAAGAGAAGTACAGCAAGCAAGATTAATGGAGAGTTACTAAGCTTTATAGACATTTATAACAGTCATAAAATCCATGTAAATGTGAGAGATCTTATAAATTTTTTTGTGACTGATATTTGGCCCTCTATCTCTATCTGATGTTTCAGGCTGACATTCTGATATCCTCCAGGTATATATACCTAGTAGTTGCACCTGCACCCTCAGTCATTTCACCTTTACTGTGCTGACTGAGTTGTTACAATCTTATTCTTATTATTTTAACACCAAAGAAGAAGTGTTGGAATATAGTCAAGTCATGGCAAACACCAAGGCTCTCTTCTTTATTTGTCAATCATCTGTTAGTAGCATACTTTATGTTTTCTCTCTTTCCTTCATCCATCTATATAACCCTGTTTTGAGACTGAGATGAGCATATAATATTCTTATTATTTAATATTTTACTTACTATTTTGTATACTATCATACATTCAGATTCTCATAGATGCTATATAACTACTAATATGTATTCAGTATATATCATGTATTTAACTTATTTTCTAGAATGTATGTCATGATTTTAGCCTCTAATTGCTATCTGCCAATGCTTAGTAAGCTCATATTTATAATGGCCTGATGAAGTCCTGACACAACCAGCCTCAGCCATGGAAAAACCTCATCAGAACCATAGGGAACCATAGATAATGCATGCATGATAACACTATGTGGCATCTGACTCATTATCTTATGACACCTAGCTGATAACAGCATGATGGCTTCACAATAGGATTATGCAATGGTGCAACAACAGCAAGGCTGACTGCAGCTTGCATCTGACTCACCATAGCAATGATATTATAGGCAGACAATAGTACAGACACATAGCAGAGGTATTATTGTTACTGGACAATGAGTAGTAGGCACAACAGCAGGACAATAGTTGCCTATAGGCTGAAGGATTTTTTGAACAGTATTTAAGACAGTATTATACAATGATGTACTCTAGTCTTGAGCTAAGATTAATATACACTGATCAAACTCTTTGGCTACTAGTGTGGCTATCACTCTAATACCAATACTGGTGGTCATAGTGTATCAACCATTATATCTTATTCCTCTCATCACCATCTTATATCTGCTTATTCTCATCTATCTGCTTTATCTTCAGTTAGTGTCAGACCCTAGCAGTTGCAGTGCATTGCATTTATAATTGTTTGATTATTGTCTGACAATGTGTGTATGATTTCAACATGTTGTTAATACATATGTTGCTGTGAACTGAGAACTCTGTCAATATGAGCTTTCTATGAATGACTGGGATGCTATGGTGACAGACTGGCTGAAGTAATTATATGCTGCAACTGTGGAGATATCAGTTACTAAGAAGCCAATGCTCTCAACAGTTCATGCAATCTTCTGTGGGCTTTAATATTATCTCAAGGGTATTCTTGCTGCTCTTCCAGACTATATGCCATCTGAAATCAAGCTGGGACTTCTTAAGGAATATCAGAACTTAGCAACTACTATTACAAGTTTTATGAATCTCCTTATTACAGATAGACAGCATATGTGATGGATGGGCTTGCTGTTCTATGCCTTTCCTCTAATATGACTCCCAATACAGTTCTTGATCCAAAAATCATATATTGTGATCTTAAATTAGAGTACTATACAAATGATGAGTTGAATCAGTATCTTAAGAAAGCCAAATATAATGTGCAGAAATACTACCTTAACAATTACACTTCTATTCCATCTGTGGCTGCTCTATTATCTAATCCTATTGTTCAGACACCATCAACTGGTGCTGCACCATTATTTGGTCAAGGTTCTCCACAAAAAGTAAGCTTTACAGCACACTATAACCAGAGCCCAAGACAGAGCTCCAATGGCTCACAGAGAGCCATGAGGACTTTAATTTTTATGAACCAGTTAGTGGTACAAGTGTCATGGCCAGTTTCCCAATCTATAGTACCCAATGTTAATGGGAAAAGTGTATTGTAAATGATGTGCCCAAGCTATAGAAAGCATTGGTAAAATTGAAGATGCATACTCACTCATATGAAAATGAGAAAATATTATCTTTAGAGGAACAAAGTAGAATGCATATTGTATATTATTTTAATGAACTTTTGGAGATTAGTGAAGTGCTGGCCTGGCTTAGGCTTGAAGCTATGGCTCACACTCAGCTTACACTGGTTTAGCTTATTAGAACATCAAGCTCAAATAAGCTAAGTGTCACTTGAGAGAAGGAGAAAGGAGAGGTAATGGTAATCAGATACTGATGTGTATGGTTGGTTTGTCTAAGACTTGGACTTTACAAATGGGAAGAATGAGAAATGAGTTGAGCCAAAGGTAAGAGTGATGTGAAAATCTGTGCTGACTTGCAGTGGGAATCCTGTCAGAACTCTATCATAAAGTCTCAAGTCTAGAGTGCTCAGTGAACCAGAGAGTGGAAGGACCAAATCTGGCAACATCAAACACTAAAGGTTGTAGGTGGGTGAGTCAATGAAAAGAGCTGAGTGGTGGTTGAGATTTCCCAGCAAACAAGTGGAGGAAAGATCTTGATGATACATTGAAGACTTAAGTGATGTTGGGAATCAATTTCATCATGATATAGTATTTGTACATGCATTAAGAGACAGCTAATAGCACCATCTCATCTTTTTCTACCTTAGCTTATTCTCTGATAAGCCTGCTGCTCATACCTTACTACAGACTTATCATGGACCCAAGCCCTCAAACAGGGCTCAGCTTAGGCTGGCTTGAGCTTGAGCCCTAGCTTGTCAATGGTGGTAGGTATGGACTTATAGAGCAATGCCAAGAGCATGAAAATGTACTTATACATTGATTTTAGTAATGAATATCAACCTTCTGAAGCTGTACCAGCTTTGTATCCAGTGATATACATTCTGAGAGCTTTATTTTGGTCAGAAGATATGACTCAGCTCCATGTACTTGCCTCACACTTTTGATGGAGCAGATGCTGGGATTTACTGGTGAGATTTGCTATCTGGAGATCCTTCCACTATGAGAGTATGTCAAACTGATCAGATTATAGAATTAAAATATTTATCTATATACATCCAGAAAGCATGGGGCTTAGGACCGGCTCAAGGCTTTGAAAGCACCAAGCCAAGCCTTGAGCCCTCCAAAATTGTTGTTTGGGCCTGGACCAGCTTGGACTTTTAGAGGGCTGGCTTAGGACCGGTTCGGGCTCGAGCTTGAGCCGGCACGTCACTATCAATGACAATGGGGATGACCTGACTGACAGTGGTTTCAGTGCACCTTACCTTTACTTAACACTCAAAGGGGTACTTCTTCCACTCAGGAAGTGTGCAGATTGCTGCTATGCATACATATTGCTTCTCTAGACTCTACCAAACGAAGGTGTGGAAGAACGAGCATCAAGAGATTTGCACTCAGATAGCGAGGAATTGAAGAACTATGCTATTATCCTTCAGCTAAACGCCGCTTATGAACCGCCTATGGACCCACGAGATGGCACGTTCCCTTTGTACCTTGTGAAGTGCGATATGAAGAAGAACTCTAATCATATCAAGTCTGAAGAAAGAGTATAGACAATCGCATCCGTCCTATAATCTCCCCCCTTGTCGTCGCCGTCAACTATCTTGTCGTATCTGTGACGCTCTGCGTCCTTTGTCATCGGTGTATCGGGTACAGCCCCAATAGAATCAACATGACACCGACGCGAGAGCGGAGACTGGGCAACTTGTTTTCTATTGGTTCCCCACGGATCGAACGTCTCACATTAGTTGAAACTCGTACGTGGCATTTGAAGGACATCACGAATGGTACAATATTCAATTTGGCACTGACAAGGGCTGAGATATCAATATCTATATAAGTTGCTCACTGAGGGACCGTAATAACTATCATGTCGTAAGGCCTTTCACCGTCGCCTCCATATACGCTTTGGGATCGTCCCAATGGACCTGAACAAATGTAAATGCAATATGGACATGAATAATAGAAAAGATCGACGTACGAAATGGTTTGCTCCTGGGATCTCGATAAAGCGAATAGGTCGCTTCGGAGCAAAACGTTCGTTCCCAAAGAATCCCCAGACACAGTACCAGTTAGTTGCCGTGCAGAACTGATGAACGATCTCTAGCTTCGGAAGAATCTTCTTTATCGCCTCTTCGTCGTACAGCGCGGTTTCCGTTTGATTTCTGATCGTAGGCTGCATCGGGGGAAAAAACCTGATTTGAAAAATGTTAATCAGTCAAGGGAGAAGAGATGGAGGGGTAAAGGCATACATGGGAATCTCCATCCTCCCAGCGGCCTCGCGGTCAAATATAACTGCCATGTCATCCGGGGTCATGTTCTCGGTTGACGGATGTGTACCACGTTTACTAAAGTCAAGCCCACTTGGGGAACGCGACGCAAGATCCGGGTGGTCGTAGTAAGTGCTGACCCAGTAGCCAAAGTTAGCAAAGATCTCTTCGGCTGTCTTGAGATCGGGATCAGTAAATGGGTTGTATCCTTCCGGTGGCTGATCATATCCGAAAGCGAGATGGGGAGGGTCTGAAAGAAAACTGAGAAAAGTTAAGAGTCATGATAGAAGGGAAAAACTAGCCGTAGAATATCATCTGCCGGAAGTATGGTTCCAACGCTTCGTAGGTCTCTTGGGGAATAACCTCCGGATGGGAAAGAATGGTGAGCATGCTTGAACCCTTGAAAGTTAGCACCAATACAGCGTTGAAAGTTAGAAGTGAGCATACGTGGTGACCCCAAAACTCCATCCAATAGTAACTAATCCTCCAGATTTGTCGTTTGCGCCGATCTCTGGAATGTCGTTGGTCTGTATGTACCACGCCAAGAAATACGCCGACTCCGATCCAAGGCGCTGCAAAAATTTGGTCTTTCCCTCGCTCAGTTCTGCGAGTTCTTCGTCGGCATACTTTGTCGAACCGGCATAGTCACGTCTGTTCAAAATGACGAGATGCAGATTGTTTTCTGCAGCCAATGGGAGGAGCTTGTGGAAGGTATCTGGACAGATGAAGGTATGAGAAATACCCTACATCAGAAATCAGAAGACTTACTGCCAGTGAAGCCACTGCCGTGAAAAATGACTACAGTGGTGTAGTCAGTAGAACCCGAGACTGGCCCACTGTCGGTGAAGAAGAGCACTGTGCCATTGTCGTCCACGGGACCAACACCGGTTGTATACGACACAGAGAACAAAGCAGGGGGATACGAAGTTGGGCAATGGGGAAGTCTAAAACATGATCGTCGTTTGACTTAAATACGCGTGACCAAGTTCAGACACCAAGAGCTGCTACTCCTAGGAAATCCGATCAACGCTTATCCGTATTTTCATTATTTGGATAAGATTTGACTAGGCTATTCCTTTTTTGCTCCTCTGCGTCGCCTTAGAGGAGCTTGGAAGGTGGTAGGCGAAAATGTTCGAATCAGATGGACGGAAAAAAACCGTCTTCTCTCGACAGCCTCATCGGTCAGTCCACGGCAGATGATCACGCGATACAGTTGCAATCTAATTTTTACAAGGCGTGGAAAGGGAACAAATTTAAAATCGCTTAGCTGAAAGGGATGTGCACCGTACCGTTACGGATATGGGTGGGCGGTAGCTGTACCGTAAGCACACCAAAAGTGAGCTTCACGGTATGTACGAGTATACATACGGACATAACGGCCGTATTACGGTCATAGAATACATTACTGAGAAGACCTGTACATTCCCTATAGTAGAAAACTAGTCTTCGTCGTCACCTAATCGTTCATCTACAACTGTACAAGCCAGGCGTAGCCTGTGCTTCACTAACATTAAGGTAAGAATGGTACCAGGCTTCAGATTTCCGCGTCGTATTGGGATTGTGTCTCTGCTTGAAGAAAAGATGCGCTCGACCGCTACTGCAGACCCTAAAATATGGGCTACATTAGAGAAGAATACTACTGATAATAAAGCCATATACCTGGAATAGACATCATATCACGAGCAAGGCGACACTCAATCTTCTGTATAGCCCTAGTGGCCTGTCATAAAACTGTAAAAATAACAGATTGGCAGTTCACCTCATGCAAAAGATGCACCAATACACCATTAAGGGTTTTTCCAGCTGTCCAATCAGGTATATGCCCTCTTCCTGTGAGCATAAAGTATAGTTGATATTTTATGATGGACAAGAGAAGATGGGCTTAAATAACCTCTCTGACCCTTGTAAATTGATCTGTGAATGCCCCAAAGAGATAGGACATAGAAAGTGAAATGATGCCCTTTGACATCTCAAACCCATCCATTGTCATCATCAGCACTAGCTTTCAGGATAATAGATGTCATTAAAAGTGGCCCAATATCTATACAAATGAGAGGATCTCAAATAGGTCATCAATCAGCATCTTCATGTTAAAGGTGAGGCTATCAACTGAGTTAAAATTGGTAGTGTGTCCACTTTATTGGCAAAGTAGAATCTCATGAAGTACATGAGCTATGAAGAGATATTCAGTACAATTGCAGAGTTTTTAGGAATGAGATTGGGTTGCAGTGGCATTCTTAATAATAGAGACAAGACATTCTAATGCTGGTAATGAGCTCTCTTTTGCTATTTTCTAACAAAGAGCTTCATATATGAGAGCCTGACATGAAAAGGATGAAGGAATACTGACCTTGATAGATGTGTATGCCATCCTAACATTTGAGGCCTGATAGCCAGTAAATAAAGGTGGAAAGAAAACTGTCAGTGTAGATACAGGAAAAAAAAAACTTGATATAAGTTACATTCAGAAATAATAATTACATGAAAAACAGTGCTATAAAATGATGGCAAAATTTTTTCATGGAATTTTATGCCAATACAAATTTACATTGAACACTTGGCACAGTGGTAGTGCTTTGAATGTGTTGTGGGTTCAAATCTCATATTTTCCAATGGAGTAGAAGATAGTGAAAATGTTTTATATATGTATTTTTGAAGCTGCCAAGTTACACAGTAATTTTACATTTTGAGTAGAACTAGAGGTTCTTTATATAGTATTTTCATATAGTTATGGGGTGAGCATCACTTCAGCAGTGCAGTATGTAAGTTATAGTAAATTACACTAGCTCATTATTAAAACTTGGAGAGCATATCTGTCATGGAAGCATAATAATTCATACAGCTGCATATCTATTCTATTTACAAAGTACACTTATAGGCAACCAAAAGCTATCACTTGCAGCTCTAAAAATGAATCAGCAGTTCTGCACACCTGTCATATGATTCTGCAAGTGATGAGTTAGATAATGGTAATTACTGTATCAAAACACCCCTCAGTAACGTATCCCACTTGAGGCTTCATGCGCAACCCTAAAGGGGAAAGATTCCACCACTATTTAAGCTAAGAAAAACAGCAAGCGACACCAGCAGGATTTGAACCTACGCACTCAGCGAGTAATAGATTATCTCTCTAGATCCCAGGAATTCGAATCTATCGCCGTAACCACTTGGCTATAGTGCCACCAAATAATAATATTGTGCACTCAAATGATTTCTAAATCAGGTCGGCTATATATACTTCACTCCTCACCCACTAACCCCCAATCGGATTAACTGCAATCCTGGTTCAATTCTCTGAATACTACGACATGGACCATAGTGACGTAGCATTCCTTAGATCTTTCTCACGGATTCTGAGGCAAGCTGGTTCGCTATTAGACGCTTCAAGGCTCAAGCTCTCAGTCTGAGCCATTGAGCCACGCAAGTTTTTGCGTGCGCCCTTCTACGTCTAATGGATTCTTACGAAATGCCTTGTCGGACTTCGCTACTTCACGTTTCATCATATACCGTCCGATCGTTGTTCTTCACATGGTGAACCTCAGGCCCTGTTACTAGACCCTGCCAGCGGAGTAATGTCGCAACAAGTCGAACCATGCGCCCTGATCAACCGGGTCGAATCATTCATTATTTTCACGAGCCGAGTTGAGAAATCAATGGGCTACATATACAACTTCCACATTTTTCATTCCAAGCCATGGACCAACAGACCTAGATCGACCAATGCTCCATTGCTCTTCAAGGCAGCCTCAATGAATGCGACATCCTTCAGCGCATCTACCGGATTTCCAAATGGCTCAATGCCTTCCTTGCTGTCTGCCGCGTCAAAGAAGCTACCAAGCTCAAGCTCAACGCCTCTCATTTTCTCTTTGACAACCGTTTCCTTCTTTTCCGTCGTGAGAATGGCTTTGATAAATCCTCCGTCTATAGAAATCGCTGCATATCCTTCTGTACCTGTGACGACATATGCATCCTTCGCTGAGACTGGCTTGGACGTTGTGGGAAAGGCAAAAGTCATCTCAAGGGTGCCAGAGTAATGGGACGAAGCCTTGGCGATGGCATGGATCGTGTCATGAGGTGCGAGGTACTCCTTGTTTAGCGAAGCAAAGCTCGACAGGTGTGTAATGGGCTGAGGAAGTAGAACGCGCAACACGGCGATAGTATGCTAAAAGATGGAGCGTCAGTATCTGTCTTCCCTGAAAATAGCAAGTCGATATGCTCACAACTCCGCCATCCAACTGATAAACGGATACATTAGAACTTGCAGAACCACAGAGGGAAATCACCCACCAGGAAGCCTCCTTGATACTACGAGCCACCTGTGCGTCAGAGGACCGGCTCCTAACGGAATGAAAGAGAATAGGCGTACCTCAGGCACAGTTCTCCATGGTGTCTTATAATATTTGGAGTCCTTACTCACGTAATTCAGAATGCAAGCTTTGAACCCTATGACCTTGCCAATCGCCCCATTGCCAATAAGTCTCCCCACCTCCTGGATCCCCGGCTCCACCTCGTAATTCTCCGCGACCCGCCACACAAGCCCCTTTCCCTGGAACTCGGACCGACACTGTTCGATCAGATTAATCCCGCCAGCGACGTCAGGGGCAACCGGTTTCTCGCTTAAGACGTGTTTGCCTGCTTGGAGTGCCTTCAGGATTATTGATGGCTGGACAGGGATAGGAAGGACGATAAGGACTGAGGATATGTCCTTCCGCGCGAGGATAGCATCTACGCCTCCGCCATTTTCACCGTCGTGGTAGACATCGGGCGCAGGAATACCCAGGGCTGTAACAGCAGCAGCCGAGAAGCCCTCGGCGCTCTTAGCAGAGCGTGAATACACTGCTTTGAGTGGGGGTGCAGCCTTTCCTAAAGCTGCGAGCGCCGGTATGTACGCTGCATGCGGGGAATTATCGGATACATTATTGTAAGCGATCGCTTAGATCTTGGAAGATAGGAACTTACCTTCAGTTGCGAAGATGCCGGCACCGAAGATGGCAAAGCCTTGTCTCGTAGGTGGACTCATCGCTGCGAGCTCAATCTTTTGACTGCGGGATCTTGTAAGCCTGCGATCAGAGAGCTTGAGAAAGGCTGGAAAGGCTGCTGGAGTGAGAAAAGGAGGTTCCGATCACGTGATCGACCGACAATTCCCCGCTTGAATAACACGCCCTCCTTCCTCATCAAAAGTCTTCCTTCATCTGGATGATACCCAAAAGGCGAGATGAAAAAAAGATGCGAGCCACGGCTGAATTTCAATCTATTTGTATTCAAGCCATTGGTCTTTCCCCCGAGCATCCGGAAAATCTCCTTTACCTTTTCGCAGCGTCGTCTGCCCCTGCGGAGTATTCTCGGAGGGTGTGTCAATACTCTTTCTCTGATATCGGTAATTGGTGTAGGTGAACAGGATATAAAGGATATCGCAATCGTGTTTTGAAAATGTACGTCTTGAGATGACGGCGCCTTCTGTAAAAAAGCTTCCTAAAGACTTTCTGTGGGGTTTCGCAACGGGTATGTCCACGGTCCTTAAGAATGTATACGTTACTAACGGGTATTGGTTTGGGATAGCGTCGTTCCAAATCGAGGGCTCTACGTCTGTTGATGGGCGCGGTCCCTCCATCTGGGACGACTTTGCCAAGACGCCAGGCAAAACCCTTGACGGACGCGATGGTGAGGTTGCTACGGATTCGTACCGTCTGTGGAAGGAGGATGTCGCCCTATTGGTCAAGTATGGCGTCAAAGCATACCGTTTCTCTATCTCCTGGAGTCGAGTAATTCCTTTAGGCGGTAGGGATGATCCGATTAACGAGAAGGGTATCGAGTTCTATAACAACTTGATTAATGAGTTGTTAAAAAATGGTATCGTTCCGTTCGTCGTACGTCACGCCATCAGTGTCGTCAGTGTTGGTAACCGAGGCTTATTTTTCAGACGTTGTATCATTGGGACCTCCCTCAAGTTTTGCACGACCGCTATGGCGGATGGCTCAACAAGGCGGAAATCACAAAGGATTATATGCGATATGCTAGGGTGTGCTTTGAGGCATTCGGCGATCGCGTGAAATACTGGTGCGCTCTTTTTCCTGATATTTCCATGCCTATTCAAAATTTACATCTGCTACAGGCTTACCATAAACGAGCCCTGGTGCATCTCGATCCTAGGTTATGGTCGAGGTGTTTTCGCTCCTGGAAGATCCAGTGATCGGGCACGATCCCCCGAGGGTGATTCTAGTCGAGAGCCATGGACGTAGGTCTCCAATATACATTTGTCTATCCTCACTCAAGGCCTCTTCAGTGTTGGTCACAATGTACTCCTCTCCCATGCTTCCGCCGTGAAGCTCTATCGGGAAGAGTTCAAGCCGACGCAAGGCGGTAAAATCGGGATAACTCTCAACGGTGATTGGCAGATGCCTTGGGACGACAGCCCTGAGAGTGAGTCTTACACTTCGTACAAAGACGTACATTCATTGTGTGCTCATTCGTTCAGATATGGATGCAGCTCAGCATGCCCTTGACACGGCAATAGGCTGGTTTGCTGACCCGATTTATCTGGGTGAATACCCGCCGTACCTGCGTCAGATGCTTGGACATCGTCTGCCACAGTTTACGGATGAGGAGATTGGGTTAGTGAAAGGGTCGTCCGATTTCTATGGGATGAATACATATACCACAAATTTATGCCGTAAGTCTAATTTAGCTTCTACTTGGGTTACGAAGAATCGATCAATATCAGGGGCGGGCGGGGACGACGAGTTTCAAGGATTGGTAGATTACACGTTCACGAGGCCGGACGGGTCTCAGCTGGGAACTCAAGCTCATTGCGCGTGGTTGCAAGACTGTAGGTGCCATCTTCTTCTTTCCATCAGTACAATCGATGATTCCAACGTTCTCAGACCCTCAAGGATTCCGAGCTGTAAGTCCTTAGTCATTCGCGGATGAATGAGAAACGTCTCATGATTATCTAGTTACTCAATTATCTATGGGATGTACGTACTTTTTTTCAAGTATTGCTTCCGGTTTGTGTACTAAAGATCCGTTAAGCGGTACCACATGCCCATATAGTGCGATTTTTCTCTTTTGTTTTTCTCAAATCGTGTTCACATGTTTTAGTGTCACGGAGAACGGGTTCGCCGTTAAAGACGAGGATGCCATGCCTCTGCAGCAAGCTTTGCTTGACCACGACCGGGTACAGTATTTCCGCGGGATAACTTCGGCATTGTTGGCAGCCATTCATGAAGATGGTGTAGACGTGCGAGGGTATTTTCCTTGGAGTGAGTCCCAGTCCCCGCTATCATACGCGTCTGACAACGTTCCATTATAAGGTTTCCTGGACAACTTCGAATGGGCTGATGGGTATATCACGCGCTTTGGTGTGACATATGTGGATTACAAGACGCAAGAAAGGTTCCCAAAGGAGTCGGCGAAGGAGCTTGTCAAGGTGCGAAATTTCTTAGGAGGGTCCTTTTGTTCTAACGACATGCAAAAAGTGGTTTAAAGAACATTCGTCGGACGAGGACACTTTGACATCAAAACCTGGAAGTGTTAAGTCGAACGATAAGCCTACAAGCGTCCACGATGCTGCTAGTCCTGAGACCTCGTCGCAGCCGAGTTCACTTATGAGCAGGATTAAAGCGTATGTGACACGATATGTCAATGCTATAATCTTGCGTTTGATCCAGGTGAATCGCCGATGAAACTCGTTATTGTTTCCTTTTCTTGTACGCCTAGCAGGTATAATGTAATTTACAACCTCTCTCGTTTTGTTGTGATAGGCAGATAAAGTTCTTATAAAACTATTCGCCTAAGTAACGGGGGCACTTGGCACAGTTGGTAGCGCGCACGCTTCGCACTATGACTGCGTGAGGTCGTGGGTTCAACTCCCACAGTGTCCACTAGTGAAACTCACTGTACTGGTTATTTTGTCGTCTTTCCCCTAGACTCTGAAACATGATTATTGGATTCTTAATGTGCATATCGGGAGTTTCAGGTGGAGCTGAGTGGCGTCACTCCTTAGAGCAGCTCAGCAGGAATACAAGTTGTAGTCCATCACGTGTGCGATGACGCGAGCTGTTCATTCTGAATTCTCATTATGCGACAACTGGATCAACTGTCTGCTTTTGCTTTACAATTTCTCTCGTCATTTCAAGCTAGCTCACCTCCTGAAGTCCAGTGTTCTGGTTCTACATTCGTCGGCAAGGACATTCATTTTCACGGAACTCATCAAGAGTTCTTTGGGGGTATGTCCTAATCACGGGCAACCAGTGTTTTCGACAATTGATAATGTCAACTTAAGGTATACCATACGCAGAGCCACCGGTAGGTCTCCTGCGCCTGAAGGCTCCGGTTGCGAAGACCGGTATCCAGGCAGAAAATGGCGTCTTTGACGCAAGTGAATATGGATACTCATGTATACAGCCTGTGAGTCACAGGTCGGCGTACAAGCAAAGTTAAATAGAGGAGCTGAATCTTCTGCCAGGGCATCGCAGAAGATATAGTGTCTGAAGACTGCCTGACTGTCAACATTCTTCGTCCGGCCATCCTCCCCGAGAATGTTTCGCTGCCTGTGTTGTTCTGGTACCTAGAATCTCATTGTCATTTGAAATCTTTCTAACCAAGTTACTTCGGTAAAGGACGTATGGTGGTGGCTTCAGCACAGGAGCATCGTCCTTCTACAACGGCAGTGCTATTGTCGCCAGAAGTATCAACAGAGTACGATTGTCATTACATGCACAATCCTCGCTGGTGAACATCTCAAATTCTAGGGAACGCCTACCATTTATGTGAGCTTTAACTACCGCCTCGGACCTCTAGGGTTTCCGCAAGGTAGCGAAGCTGCTTCAAGAAGGTATCTGAATCTTGGACTCAGAGATCAGATGATAGCGCTTAGATGGGTCAAAGAAAATATCGCAGCTTTTGGTGGGGACAGTGAAAAGGTAAAAACTCGCAGTCTTCGTTATAACATTTGATGGAGCCCGGGATGTAGGTAACCATCTTTGGACAGAGCGCGGGGGGGATTATGACATCTATACTTCTTTTACAACCACAAATATCGAACTTAGCAGCGGCTGCGGTAGGAAACGTATTCACTTGCAGCTCGGCTTTTTGGCTAAAAGATTCTGTCTTAGATCATTCAATCAGGAGCGGGAGCAGCTCTTCCCTTCTTCACCCCAGAGCGCAACGAAAAAGCCTGGAATACCTTCGTCTCTTTTGTTCCTGGGTGTAGCTCCTGGGTCGGAACCTCGTTCTCAATGACTTGCCTACGAAAGGCCAATACGTCAGCCATTCTGGAAGGCTTTCGTGAAGTATACAAGGATCCTAGAGCAAGAGAGGAGTTCTGGTTTTCTCCGAACGTCGACGGCGAACGGGGACTGGTGCCCGATCTCCCCAGCAGACTTATCAGCAATATTCAGCTTCCTTTCATTGCTGGTGCTAATCTAGATGAAGGCAGGTGCTATGTGTCCCATAACATGAGTTCACGAACAATAAGTCAAATTTTAGGGACCGAATTCGTTCCGTCCCCTCGTGACATTTCCGAGAATAGGATCAGGAATATTATCAGTGAAACTTATGGGCCCCCTACGATACCGTCTGCCATTATCAATGACCTGATGATGCTATATCCTGACAATCCTTTTCTGGGATCACCGTATGGGACCGGGAAGGAGACGTTCGGATTCTCATCCGATTACAAAAGGATGGCTGCCATGAGTTGAATTCTTTCTTCAATGTTTCACTATCTGATCTCATCATCGCATTTGTTAGATGGCGACTTGATGTTTCATAGTCAGCGGCGCATGATCATGCAGCACGCGGCGAACAACACCGTTAAAACATTCGGGTATCTCTTTTCATGCCGTTTGCCCATCTTTCCACCTCACTCTGGAGGTCTGTTACCCATATTTTCTCGAATTCTGGGCCGGGTATTGACCAATTATTCAAGTGCCGCATGCTGCAGAACTACCTTTCATATTTGGGGGACTGGGAATTTGGGAGGATCACATGAGCGATGCATCGGCCGCTGATTGGACGCTGAGTGAAACCATGCTTGACTACTGGATCTCATTTGCGACGTCTTTGGACCCCAACGATGGACTGGGTCATGCTCGTTCGTGATATTTTTCTTTCTACTGCTTCACTCGTCCATACGATGTCCCCATCAGGTCCAATCTGGCCGTTGTATACTCCGACTAGCGAGGTACACCGAATTTGAGCTGATATCAACTGAGCTGACCGGTCTCCCTGATTAGGTCTTATTGCAGCTCGAGTGCGACAACACGACAGTTGTCACAGATGATTATCGATGGGAGCAAATCAGATATATCAATTTCGAGGCTGATGTATTCCATCACTGATTTCATGCCATAGCACTTCTGGCGGAGGGAAGTTTACCGGTCAAATATTACAATTGTGGGGTATTGGTAGTCCGAATATTGCTATTTACATGTGAAAGTAGTACAACATGGATAGAGTCTGTAAACAGATTAAATTATCTGTCATAGAATAAGTTCATAAAAAGGAAAATACATAAACCCAGTAAATATAAGTACGTCAGTCAAAAGAGAGGAAGAGTTATTTAATCAGAAATGAGTGAGAATTATAACAGCGCGTAGGATATTAATCTTGGGCTGTAGAAATATTACTGCTCATATAGCTGGGACATAAATTGTTCCAAGCTAAGGCGATGAGAGAATTGAGCAGTCAGACAAATCTAGAAACCATGATAGCTCTAAGCTTACCAGATACGGGATGGAGCGCGCTGCTAACTTCCTCAACTCCCTCGGCCAGAACGACGGCCAGACCGCTATACTGATGTCAGTGGAAGCATGCAAAAGTAATACACTGTATACTCACGCGTCAAGGTGAAAGTCGATGTGACTGGTGTTCGTCTTATCAATTCGTGTTCATATGATATACCACGACCATACATACCAGTGCAAGAACCAAGGACCAACATTGTCTGTCGTGAATCGGATTGTCGTGGTCCTACCCTGGATCACTCCTGTTGTGTCTCGGCGAACCTATAACACATAATTAGCATTATGTATCAATCAATGAGCTCATCATACGAACTGGATCAATGAAATTATAGAAATTGCTGCCGGCACTTTTTACTACATCGAAAGCATGCTAAAACATTTGTAAGCACAGGTCCACGACATTAAGATAAATACTCACTCCGTGAAGGTGGAAGGGGTGCTGAACAGCCATGAGCATGCATATGTCAACCAATCGCGAGTAAAACTCACGGGATCTCCCAGCGCGTTGTGCCCAAATAAATTGATTTCGATGACCTTTCCCAGCGGCAGATCAAAAACACTTCCCTGTGGCAGTAGATCCTGAGCCCGCTGAGCGCCGCTAAGGATTTGGAGCAGCACGGGAACACTTGGAGGAATGAATCGCACGCCGTTCATGAAGAAGAGCCCACCATCAAATCCGAGGGTGAAATTCAGCACCACATCAGCACCATTAGGAACGGGTATTCCTGGCGCTCCGGGAGATTCAAGTGGATGCAGATCGACTTCGTTAAGGGGGATGATGTTTGCCTGCATGGAGGTCGTGGGCTCTGCGTCGGGAGCGCCTTCGTAACGAAGAATCGCCGAATTAATACCGCCCTCGAATCCTTGAGGACCAGCAGCGTCGGGTTCGGCACGCATCCAATAGTTATTTACCGGTTGATTTGTTTCCAAGATGACGGAATACCTCTGAGCGGCAAGTATCAGAATTGAATTTACGGTCAGCGGCTGTGTATTGACGCCGTCAGCCTCGATGATAGTGAGGTTATGTCCGTCGATTGAAAAAGTAAAGTTAGGGTCACAAGAGATCGAGATGACTCGGAATCGATAGCGCTTTCCAGGAGATACGGTTATCACGGCGAGAGGAGCAGTGGGCTGTGAGCATAGCTTGTTAGTGAGTTCTAAAGTTTCAGAAATAGATAGCGGCACTCACGTTCTCAAAGAATCGGCCCATTCCATTGATCAGCGTAGAATTCGCCAAGGGAGCAAGCAAAGTGTCGGCTACCTGTCTAGCGGTGTCATGGTACCTAGATGGGCTTGAGCAAAGAGCTATATGGGAATAAGATGGGAACTCACCAATCTCCCAGAGTAATTATAGTCGTTTCTGAAACTATGTCAATACCTAAAATATCATAGGATGACAATGAACCTGCCGTCATCCACATCGTATAAAGCGCGGTGAGGATCATTTACGCCATTTGGACCGTCATACACGACGAACGGGCCGCTGAGACCTTCACAGTACTGCACTCCGACATGGGAATGATACCAAAACGTTCCAGCTTGGTCCGGGACGCTGAAATCGTATTGGAATGAGTCGCCGGGTTGAATTGGGCACTGCGTCACGGAAGCAGAGCCGTCTTCATAGTTCGTTCCGTGTTGAAATATACCATGCCAATGCTGCAAGGAACAGTGAGACAAAATATTTTCGATAAGGCTAGCACTTACGATGCTGGTGCTGACACCCATACTCGTATCGGTTAAATCGTCGACTACATTGATATGAAACTGATCTCCCTGTCGAGGACATCAAAGCCTATTCCAATGGGTCGAAGAGAACCTTACCTTGTTCCCGCTGATCAGGGGACCCGGGAATACGCCACCAGCGAGTATAGTCCTGGAATGGTCCCGGGTGAGATTTCAAACAGGAGAAGGGAGTATTGCTCACGAACGTGTGACACCGTCGGGCGCGATGTCCTTGTTAACAATATGAAGGTCTCCAGAGGATCCAAAGACTTCAAGTGACCTGACCGAGTGGAATGAGAGAATAAGACCCAAGAGAAGTATATGCATTAGTCAGGAGAAAGGGAAGGACAAACGAAACGGAAAGGAAAGTGGGTTGTGAGACAGGTGCTCGAGAAGCATACCTTGCTATACATTTATACTCTGTGGCTTATTGGACTAGTATGGCACGATCCTTGTGGAGGCTAAAACTGACCGTAAAACACGTCTTCATGTGTCCAGTAGTGCCTTCGAGAATCGGCAGGTACGAGATGGATAAAGGTGTTGATTCAGTCGTCCCGGCTTCTGGGCTTTTGAGCGGGAAGGACGGGTTCCATGTCCCTGTGATGCGTTGATGCGCTGACACAGGTGTGTAACGGCTTTACGAAATTGATGGCTTGAAACATTATAACGCATACAGTAAGGAAACACACGCACCGGATAAGATATATATAGGTTCCTGGGCCGTGGCGCACGAGAATGAGCTGTGGTACCTAGGTAATGAAAGAGTTGCCTTGAGCTTCACGTCACCAAATGGCAGATTTGGCGCTGTAATCGGGGAGTAGTACCATGAGTCGGTCATGTAGTGGTGATGGTGGTGCTGGCAGCTCCTGGATGCCACTAAAGAGAGATTCTTGCCGTTCTTGCATAGGTACAGAAGTACAGCTATTTGCTAATATCGCTCGAAAAGAAAGGAATAGCCTTATTGTCAGAGCGTTTGGTGCTGAGGATTGAATAGAAGCGATGCATTGCCCCGGCAGGTCTCATGCGATGTTCAATTGGTCCTTTGTGGTTGGGAGAGAGCGAGAATTGTACCTGACATTAAGCGCCTTTCCCTTGTACTCCTAAAATCACTTACGCCCTTAGGCTCTCTTGCAGCGCAATGTCGACAAGATTCACACGGTTTCGATAACAAAATGTGTGGTATGTTCAGTGATAAGAATCTAAATATATCGAGGTCAGACCGTGGATCATTGATGTCTCGAAGACTGGCCCAATTATGACGTACATCGTTTCATAACATATGAATAGAACATTTGAAACGCCAGAGTCGTGTCGCGGTGGATAAAACGATATCGTCTATCGGCGTGTGGGGGGATTTTACCTATCATTGCGGGCTAGACGGTGGTCGGCGAGAAAGTGCTGAAATTTGGACGTGGTACATAGTGCGCAAAGCAGAAAGAGATGTGCCGGGTGAATAGATATTGTCCTAGAAACGCAGCTAGTGTCTCGGATAGTCCTCCGCTCCGAAAAGGCTGTGGCGATGCTTTTCAAACGTCTACGGGACCCATGGCATACCACGGAATAAGTGGTCTTCTCGACCACGCGAAGCTACGTGGTCAAATCTAACACCTAGCCCTTCCGCTCCATATCGAACTGTCAGGCCCCTCTCCGAAAGATCATCCCACCTTTGACGGGTGGCTTCATCAATGGAAAAACGTTCATCCAGTCGTAACTCTTGAAGGTAATCCCTTGTCGAGGAGGTGACGCTATCCATCATTACATCTGTTGACAAGGGAGAGACCCGCGACTCGAGCATGGTGATAAAATGTATGGGATCGTCCAGCCCTAATGTGGAACCGCGGAAGTCAAGGCGCCTTAGCGATGGCAAGATGCTTTGGTTATCACGACGACTGATCAGCCCTTCTACAAGGTTGTCGGTGACTCCCTCAGCTTGAGCCATGAGATGTATTACTGTGGGAAGACCTTCGAGGAAAACCAGGATGCTATGAATGGCAGCGGACGACAGCTTGAAACGGAACGTGAGCTGCAATGTGGTTATCCTGCGAGCATCGATACCCATGGGGTGGATGATAGAAGGTAATTGTACTTGGTTTGTGGAGTTCGAATATCCGAGCCTTAATTCCGTCAAGGATGGCAGTGACAAAGCAGAGATACACTGAGCCAAGGACCCCGCAACGGCAGAGGAGCCTTCCTCAAGGGTCAAGTTCTGCAGTCGAGGAAGGTGAACTTTGCCGGACGAAGGGGCGCCCGAATGCTTGTCACAACAGAGGCGCGCGCTCTCCAGAAGAGACATCTTCGTCAGCACATGCAAATGTGGTATGTCTGTGATGTCTTCATCGTCTGGACCGTCTGGACCATCATATACGGTGAGCTAAGACCACGGTAGACGAAAAATGTGCAAGGGGTCACCGATGTGACTAAAGGAAGCATGGGTGAGATTCGGAGCGTACTCGAAGGCGTCGAGCAAGGGATCCAAGGAAAGGATATCTCCTTCTCCGTCATCCAACATGACGTGAAGATAACGCAGATTCCTGAATGATCCTCTACGGAAGGATAAAGTACGGATTGTTTTCGATGGTACGTCGAGTATTACATCTTTCCATCGATGACTGGTAGAAAGGAGGGCTAGAGTAGAGTGATCCGAGATGTCATCTTCTGCGTATACAACGAGAGATAATCCGAGATCCCTGGACCTTTCGATATAACATCCCAACATCAACGTAAATGCCAAGGTACGGCTTGTATGAAGAGGAAAAATTAGGCCGATGCGACACCAGAGCCTTGCGGTACTTATGGCGATGTCCCTCCATCTACGACAAACATGAGATATGGCCCAGGGGCCTTGGAGCAAATCCATTGAATCGAGAGTTGTATAGGGAAAGAGGCATCGTGCCGGCGATTCTACGCATGCAAGGAAGATATCTCTAAGCACGTCGGTCGGAAGGCGACGCATTGGATGTAGGATATTTTTGGCAACAGCGAGGTTATCCGCTGCTTGAGCTCTCTTGCGAAGCAGTTGCTGTAGAATGTGCTTAATGTCCGCAATTTTAGCGTCAAGATCTGAGAGCATCTGGGGGCCTTGATCCACAACAACTCGAAGAGAAGCTTCTTCGCATTCGAGAGGCGGTTCATTAACGGAAAGCAGCTGGTCGATACGAGGATTGTGAAGTGAGGGTACGGTGATTGCTCGGAGGTTCCTTGTGCCACAAGTAGCGCAGCGATCATCGTTTAGCATCGAATTTAAGACAATCTGTAAGCCACGCGTCAGCGTAAAATCGAACCAACGAGCAGGGATCAGAAGGGAATGAAGTCTTCGCAAACAAAATGGCAGAGGGAAATGAACGGAAGAAAAATTGGCACAGCCTCAAGTATTGTCCAATTGAACCTACACGTGATCTGGCGGCCTACACGGCCCGGGACGAAATTTGAATTTGATTGGAATGTTTTTCATGGGTCTTTGACCTTTTTTTTTTTTTGTCCTCAGCATTTGATTAACCGCAACAAGTAAGCTAACTACTAAGACGCGGTGGAGGTACAGGGCCTCAGGATCCTCTTTCCCTCTTGTTCCAGTCCCTCCGTTCTTCCTTCTGAGTTCCCCGGGTGTTTTGGCGTGTAGTGTGGAGTAGAGTAACGGACATGTATGGTATTTTGTGCCCTCGTGGTGGGCTAATTGGTTCGTTTGATCCTGCGGTTGGCTGAAGCCTGGGGTGTTTTGCGAGCATGTCTTGGGTGCTGGCTGTGCTGGACATGGTCTATGGTGTGGTGGGTGCGCGGCAGTTATCCATGCTCGTCTTCCATGTCGCCCTCTTCTTCTTCCCACCATTCTCCTCCTTCTTCCTCTTCTGGCTCTGGAGCGAGCTTCTCGTTTTGTGGTTGTCCCGTCCGGGTGAATGCTCCCGTGTTCTCCATGAACTCGCTCAGTGCTGTGATTCCTTCCTTGGTGCCAAGGATGTCTGGTAGGTAAATAGTCCTTGACACATTCCGGAGGATCCCCCGTTGTTCTTCGTAGAGGGGGCATTCCCGCAGGATGTGTTCCCGTGTCTGAAACAATTCTCCACAAGGGCAGTCAACGTTCTTACTTGGCACGAATTGTGAGTAGTACTCGCCTATGTATCCATGGCCTGTTCTGCATTGAAGCATTCTGCCAAATAGCTCTCTTTTTGCGGCAAGGTCTATGAGGTGGGGTGTCGGCTTCAGTGATGGTGGAATTCTATTTGCCGTCACGTAGCGTCCCCATTTAGGGCTGGCCTCCCATGCCTTTCTCCACTCTTCCAGCGTTGTTGCCTTTGCCTCCCTTCTAGCGTTGGCCCTTGTTCTGCCCATTGCTTCCGTTGTTTTCTCTGCTCCTTTCTTCGCCAGATAGTCTGCTCGTTCGTTTCCTACGATGTCTTTGTGGCCTGGGCACCACGAGATTTCGACTGTATGCATAGGATCGCTGTCGAGGAATTGGCATATGCGTCGGTGGAACAGTATTGAGAATGCTTGTCCAGTTCTGGGTAAAGGGTCAAATATGGCATTGATGGCTGATGAGTTGTCTGCGAAGAAGTGTAGGTGCTTTACTTCTCCGTCTTCCTTCGCATGGTTCGTCGCTCTTGTTGCTCCAATGGCGAGGGCTGCCATTTCTCCATCGTAGACTTCAGCTTTTCTCCCCAGGCCCATACTAAACCCGAATGCCTGTGTCCCGTCTCTGAGCCCTATTACTCCTGCCCCTACTTGCCTCTGGCCCCGTATGTCCCGCTGTGAGCCATCTGTGTATATTAGTAGGTGGTCCCGGGATTGTATCTTTTTGATGTCCCTGTTGTGTCGGCATGCTGCCTCATCCTTCGATAGGCCATTCATTCCGTTTATGCTCAGTCTTTCCCCATAGTCGTGTTTGGTGCGTCTCCATGGGGCTGCTAGCTCTGAGAACGGGTGCAGACGTTCATCATTAGGGTCTTTGACCTGACCCGCCCTGGGTCCACGAAATGATGATCACACCCAGTATTAATTATTTCCATTGACTCTTCTACTCTGCAACTGCATCGAAAGGTTCCCCCAAACTCAACATCATTTTATCTAGCCCATGCAGATTGGCAAGCGGACATGAGCAATGAGTACACTTGACGTTAATTGACCAGCAGCAATACCGAGGAAGTAAAGATATATCAGGGGAAAGACACATAAATATTACAAGTCAAAGGACCCCCTATGAACCGACAACTCAGAACCTTAGAAACCAGTCTAAACTTGACCGACTTCCGGCAAGACCTTTATTTTCTCAGACCTCTTCTTAATATCACAAGACAGACTATCTGGTGTTCCACACGACGGATTCGCGTCAATTACGACCAAGACACTGAGACGATAAACTTACCTGAAGGAAGAATTGCTATATTTGACTGGCACTTGATTTTCTCTGGACCTCTTGATATCCAAACACGCAATCATAGAGGCGAGAAGCAGTTCTGAATCAAACACCTCGGGGAAGGGATCAAGTTTTTCATTGCGTAGAATGGCCCTGAAGTAGGTATATATATAATAGGATTCTTCTTCAAACCATATATTGGCAATGACCTAAGGTACGGTTTTAGATGTCGCATACGGTAACCAACATTCATTTGCCGTATAATGGATCCTTTGGGAATATGCATCCCACGACATTCGTCGTCTTGTTTGAGGCAATGAGGCAGATCTGAATAGCACATCAGCTCGTGAATAATCGCCTTCCAAATTACCATCTTTTTCCTGAATCTCGTTGGCGATGATGTCGAGACAAAATTCAGCCTGCTTGAGAAACTTGTCATCTGCATTGCATGCTTGGTAGCCATATACGACGGAAAGAACGAGTCCTCCAGCGTACTTTCTGGAATGCTCGAGGTGATGCGAGAGTGAGTTGATGATCTCAGATAGGAATGTATTGGTAGAGGCGCGGATCATGGGATGACAATCGGTGATGCTGCGAAGGCCCAGAGTTTTCTTGACAAAGCGCTGTTGTCGTGCAAAGCTTTCGGAATCGTAATTGAGAAAAGGGAGCTGTGATATAAGAAGATAGATTAGAATCCTGATTTATTAGTAGTTCAAGAACCAATCGACCTAAGAATTGCGCCTTCTGGAGCCCTCACAGACAAATACACTGATATTTGACAAGACAGAGATGAACATACCATTCTATTACACCCACATCTAGCAGAAACGTTCAGCAAACGCGGAAGTCATTGGAGCGGAATTCTCCCACCATTTTCAACTTCGGCTTAACCGAGTAAATCGCGCCCCGTTTGTTAAGAAAATCGGACGCAGCATCTTCACTACTCAGAAAAATGATTTCTTGTTCAAAAACGTGGAGGTAGCACACGCCTAAGAAGGTCTAGACTCGCGAGGCCCGATGAAAACTTGACTCACTGTACTTTTTTTGCCCATTGTGTGGTGGCCAGCCAAGGCACACTAGAGGTAAAATCACCCAGATTCCCCAATAAAGGTTGGACGTTGGACCAGGCAGTAACGATGTTGGATAACTACTCTTTCCCTGACATTTTAACCACTGAAAGACAAGAAAAGAACCGATACAAGCGAGAGCAGTGAAAAGGAAGGTCATGGTATGATGCAGAGAACGCTCCCCTTGAAGTGAGTTTCTCCCGTGGTCGATGACCACTCCTGCTTGGAAGATAATTTATTAAGTGTAATCAGTTCTTGACAGGTTTTGTCTTGTCCGAAACAGGTAATCACCGCCAAGGAGGCCTTCGAGCGGCAATTATCGTATGACATCTGAATCTCCCTCTTCGGTTCCCCGGGCTAAGCAAGTACGATGCATATTACCATGGAAATCTGACAATCCTGGGCAGGATATGGGATCAAATACCGGATTTTGGGCTGCTGAGCTTAGGTTCCTACTATGCGGAGTTGAGGACCAAGCCCCATGGATAATGGATTTTTAGTCAAAAATCATCCAAAATGGGAGGTAAATGGGTCCCGGGACTTCTGGATTCGGTAGAATGCCGGAGAACAAATGTCTAGCGCCAAATAACCAGATGAACGAACCGTCACAATCACGTGCCGTTACAGACGCGCCCGTTATTTTTTTTCCACGACGCCACACAAGCCCACTCTTTTATCACCCACCATCATGGATGTTGAGATGCTCGATGGTACTTCTTCGGCTACCCACCAGACCAGTCGCTCCTGTGCGACATGCAAAAAACCAATGCCCGACGATGCGCCTTACAAGTCCTGCGCACCATGCCTAACCAAGAAACGGGAGTACCAGAGACGCTTCACTCAACGGAAGAGGGAAAGAAAGGGTATTACAGAAATTGTAGGACTGCAGACGAAGGCGGAGGACGATGAGAATGCGAAGAAGAAAAGGGTCAGGCAGATCTTGCGGGAGGTGCAAGGACCGGAGTCACCAGCAGCGGACTCCACCACTGCACGTGGTCTTTCGTCACCTCCCCTCCCGCTTGCTTAACTGAAAAAAATTTCTTTCAGAAATCCTCAGGCGGGGGCGGGGAGGCCTTCGTCGTCCAAACAGCGTCCGATCTCTACAAGGCCATCAAAGCCCAACCAAAGCTCGCGCACAACATGAACGCCTGCCACTCGATCGTTTCCGTCCCCTCCATCAGCCATCAGAAACGCACCAAGTTGGTTTCCAAGGATCTCCTCTCCTTTGCGGGACTCCAATTTGAGTATGTCGCGGTTTTCCGTCTTATTGTTTTGCGAGCATCGCTCTGATAGGAGGATCCCTGGTAGCCGACACGAAAATATTTTCAACGGAAAGCACGGTCGTGGCACCTATACGCGCATCTTCAAGTGCAAGTGTCAGTCCTCGCAGGAACAGGAACAGGAACCTTTGGAGCGGAGGGCGAGCAACCTTAGATCTTGGGTGGTTTCTTCAAAATCCAAATCGTCGGAGGGTCCTTGTTCAGGCAGGATCACTATCGTTGCTGAGGATGATAATTCCCATCCGTTGGGTATCACTGGGCAAAAGATCTCAGTCATCGTCGTTCATTAAACGTTTTCCCTCATGCTTTATTTTGTAGATAGTTCATGAATTAATGTACTCTATATCTCTCTAAAAAGAAGTCTATACACTCGCAGTAGTCGTAAATTTGCATTATGTGCCGTCAAAAACATAAAAATAGTACTATATATCATCAAAACGCAGGAACCTCCTTCATTAAAGGAAATGCCTAAAGTCTGGGCTCGCCACCCCAACGGCGAGCGCCGCTGTCGGCACGTCCTTGCTCGACCAGTTCACGCCCTGTTCCCTATTCCTCCGTCTATTGTCAAGCATCATGTACGTCCGTAAGCTGAGGATAAGGCCTATGCCCACAGCGAGGAAGCTGAAGTTGACTACGAGCGCAGTGTTGTAGTACGGGCTTTCTTTGGCCATGAAGATGTTCGATGCGATGAGTCCGGAAGCTTAAGGGACAAGAATTAGGCGCATATAAGGAAAGAAAGAATTAGGCGCACAGTTCGCGAAGAATGTCATGAGGGCCGTACGGAAACCACGTCCGACTTCAGATGCGTCGCTGCAGAGGCAGACTAGTAAGTCGGTACTTGACCTGCCTATGGCCTTTTACTTACTTGCAATTATGCCACACGTGGAAGATAGTCGAAGGCGTAAATGCTCCAAGACACAACAGGAAAGAACCCAAATACTGAATCCCAGTCTTCTTTACGTCAACAGTGTCAACTAGATAAATACCAATTAACTCCCTCCCCCATAACATGAATGAAAGAGAAGATAGACGCACTGACGATGAACCCAATCATCGTTATAGACATCGCACCCGCGATATGCAACGATCGCTCTCGGAAATAATCCGACGAGGTCGCCGTGAGCAGCACAGCAAACCCGCCGGCAAAGTTGGGTGCGACCTACACACACACGCAGTCCATTAGCACAAGCCCAATGATGAGAAAGGAACATTCCGTACCGTAAGCAGATTGGTCGTCAACTTTCCCTTACCCATGCGTCCGATAATCTGAGGGAGGAACGTCCCAGCTGACGAAGCAGCTACACCATAACATATGGCGATCAAAGCCCAGACATAGAGCTTCCAGTCCTTGAGGGGAGCGAAGAAAGCTTTCGATGTAAGCTTCTGGTTGATAACCGCGGACGAATCACGGAGGATACGCGTCCGCGCGACGTGCTTTTCCTCTTCCGAGAAAAACGGCGTCGAGTTGATATTCGCGGGTAGGATGAATCTAAGAGGTTATCAGGATTGTGTCCAAGGAGGGGGGGAGGAAGAAAGGAAAAGAGATGACGCACATCGCCAATATTGAGAAGAAGACAGTCGCGCCACCCTCGATGAGGAATAGTAGCTGTTGAGAAAGATATGTGAGGAGGGTCTTTGGATCAAGATGGAGGTTCAACGTACCTGCCAACCCTTAAGGGCGATATTTGTCCGGAACACCCCGTAGGCAATCAATCCAGAGAATCCACCAGCAAAAGCAGAGGCTGAATAGAACACGGCCACGCGCTTTCCCAGCTCACCACGCCTAAGCAACTGTATATTAAATACGGACGGCAGACGCAAGAAGAACATACGTGTAAAAAGTAGTCAGATACCAGATAATGGTCACAGCAAACCCGGCTTCCGCTGCGCCAATGAACAGCCGCACCACCAGACAGCCCGCAAAGTTCTTCACTCTGAACGATGGATGAGAAAATGAGAAATGGAAGGTAGTAGGAGAGACTCACGCAGCGTTGATCATACACATTCCACCAAAAGTGATCATATAAAGTGGGAGTGCCACTTTGGCACCGATTTTCTTTGAGAGGGCGATTGCTGGGACAGTGAGGGTACAGAATGGGACATCTGCAATAGGAGATAAGCGTGCGACCCAAGTCCAGGTATAGGACGCCACGTACAGAAAACGGAGAGCATTATCGAGTAGTCGTTCCCTTTAAACTTCAAGTCGGTATCCAGCCCATCCGTCTTCGCATTTCCTAGTAGGTAGAATCCCAACCATCAGTGACCTTCCGCGGTGTATGATTTCAATCGAAATACTCACCCAAATTCGACCGGTCGATGGCATTGAAGACATACAGAAAAAAGATAAGTGGCATGAGCCTCGCATCCAGCTTCCGAACGAGCCTCCGCTCCGCCTTAGGATCGAACTTGAAATAATCCTCGATATTATGACTGGGCTCGCCATCGGGACCGTAAGCGATGTCGTGGATGTCCGATTCGGCGTCGTCTTTGTGGTCGAGCTTCGAATCCAAGGAGGGCGACATTATGGTTGGGTCCGAATGTAAAAAAAAAACAGATAGCGAGGAACGCTCCCTTCTTATCCGTGGATGGAAAGGGGGGATAGACCCTTGCTTGGTACTCTATAGTCGACGATAGTGGCACAATTGAGGCAGGCAACGCGATAGGAACGATGGAGATAGGACCTGGAAGCTGGATAAACTACTATCCGCGGTCTGCTGGTGATTATTCGCCATTTTTGCTAGGTCCGACGAAGATTCTGAGAGGGGTCTGTGCTGAGGAGCGTGGTGGTATAGAGGGAGGAACAAAAAACGCTGGGACGGGGCAAGGCGTGCAAGTCTCCCATGAGAGATAGGCAGTTATAGAAGAAGATAACACCGCCAACAGGCCATCAAGGACTTCTACCGGAGTCTCAAAGAGTATCGTGCACCAGAACAACGCAAAATGATGAAAGACAAATATAATGTTCGCTCATCTCGCGATATGCCGACATGCCGAAGATGATCGGCAGGCTCGGCCGAGATAAGACACTTTTTGGAGATATGATAGCCATGAAATAAGTAGCCATGACTTTCTGGCGTTTTATCGAGCAATGTCGTCCACCAAAAAACTTGGTGTGCTGCAGTTGAACACCCAGTTCTATCGGCCGCCTGGAGATTGCGGTAATCTCAAATCGTACGCTTATCCCGTGGTCATTTCCATCGTCGAGGCAGCGACCCGCGAGACGGTGGTATTGGCCGGGAGGGAAGGGCAGATGGCGTTGGTGGACGCGTTCGTCAAAGAAGGGACTAGGCTGATGAAGGAGGAGAACGTTACCTGTTTGATTACGAGCTGTGGGTTCATGGCTGCGACACACAAAGAGCTTGCGGAGAGAATGCCCAGTGAGTTTCTCCTCCCATAGCTTCCGACAGCGAGAAGTCTGATTGCTTGGTTAGTCCCAATCGGTACTAGCGCACTGTTACAGGTTCGATGGCTTCGAGAGCTATTTGGCGGCGCGCCAGACACCGTTGGGGTTATTACATTCTCAGCTGAGAACCTCACAAAGGATCACTTCAAGGGTGTCGCATTGGATGTCGCGCCGCCGGTCAAGGGTGTACCAGTTGGGGGTGCCTTTTATAACTGGATAACCTTGGAAACGGAATTCGACTTTGCAGCTTGCGAAGCAGAGGTTGTCCAGGCGGCGAAACAAATTCAAAAAGAGAACCCGACGATACGAGCGATCTGCTTCGAGTGCGTCTGTTCTCTCCTTGATTCATGGTATGCTAATCGAAGCCGTAAATCAGGTGTACGAATATGGTATGTTAATCCTTACCCTTTAAAGCCAAGATACTGAAGATGTACATTAGCCACCTTTCACAGAGGCAGTCAAGGAAGCTACGGGCTTACCTGTGTACTCGGTGTTGACGTTGGCTGACTGGATGTATCATGCCTCCAGTATGGGACCATCTTTTCACTGAGCGCTTTCGCTGGTATTGCCTGAAATAAGACCTCTCGCGCGCCATGTACGCGCGCATCGTGAACCTTGTCCAATTGTACAGAAGAATATAAATATTTATACCGTATAGATCAAGTCCTGAGTATATTACAAACGTCAATGCGGAACAACAACCCTATTTCCTGACGTCCCTTTCATAAGCCCGCGATCAAAAGCAAAACAACAGAAAAACGAACTAGAGTCATCTCGACAAGAAACTCTTACACCGGACATCCAACATCCCACGCTGTTTCAACCTCGGCAGCTGATCCTCTATCACACCCTTGAACTGCATCATTTCCGCCATCTCAAGTCCATATATCACAAGCGACAGAGACTCAAACGGCCCCGTCTCAGTAGCGAGAACCTCGTCTAACGAGGACCACGCGCCCAATCCCTGTTCCCAATTCTCGAACACGGCGCCACTAGAGAGGCAAAGGTGAAACGAAATATCCCGAGGCACATGCCCTGCGGAGCACCTGAATATATCGATCCATGCGTCTAGGAGATCAAACTCCGGAGATCCTCCCCACACGTTCCGGTCCCACATTTCAACTTGGAGGCGGTCCAGATCTCGAATCCGCAGCTCCCGAGGAAATTCGGTTACAAAACCGGGGTCTACAATGGTCATATTATTGAGAGATAGATTACGACGAAAAAGGGGAAAGAGGCCACTTCACCGATCTCGCCGTAGGAAGGTGCTTGGGTGAGGATGAGCTCTTTCAGACTCCCTTGAGCAGCAAGGAGGATGGATTGGACGGTGGGGAGGTCATTTAGAACACTCCAGGTGAACCTAAGCGAGCGGAGGTGCTTCAATGATATAGGGCTTAAAGGCGAAGTGAGACTGTGGATACTAGTAGGCGCTCCGATGATAGATAGGCCAGCCAGCCGTATACTGCTGCGCTCATATCCCATGTGATCGCCTGGCTTGCGCACATGAGCATCCGATAACGAGACGTCCTGGAGCTCTGGAAATCCGCCCAGAAATCCGCAGATGGTCTGGTAGTCGGGAAATTTAACGTGGACGAAGGAGATGCTCCGGAGGTGAGGAAAAGATGTGGAAAGCGCCCCTTGCATATCCTCTGTGAGTTTCCCCCAGTTCAGACGCTCCAGCGTGATGTGGTGGACTGTCAAGCATGTTATGACATCAAGAAGATTTTGAAAAGTGAGGTCGCTCCGGCGAAAATTAATCGTGAGGCTCCTGACATAGGAAGAGAGATCGTATGGGGAGGAGGACCGCAAAACCATGAATTCCTGGCATCGCTTGTTGCTTGAAAGCTCAATCGACGTGAACAGATGGACACGAGTTTGGGGGAAAAAAGAACGACATGTCAGCGAGCACGACTTCAGATCATGCGTGTAGTCCTTCAGCTCATCGATAATGGTGTCAACGATTTCTTGAGGAAGCGAGTCAGGCATAAACTGCGCCACCCAAGTCAGAACTCCATTTCAAAGTTGAGAACGATCCAGAGCTTACAGACGTCGTGGTAAGAAGGAGAAAAATTAAGAAGAGGCTCCAGCCTCAGAGAAAGATATAAAAGTGGATGTGCGAATGGCAGTGCACAGTAATGAACCGGAATCAAATCCGGGCTCAGGACCCTGATAGGATGACGTTTTCGCGTTCGGGCCGATGATCACCCGGCCCGGCTATAAATAACACATCCCATAATAGATTTCAAAAGAACTCTCTCAAGACAGGTCAGATATAACTGCCGTATACGCCGCCTTTGGCTCGTAGTCACTATCAAACAACAGAGGTGTAGAGCTGGCGCGCCAGGAATTCTGGAAAAGAAGATAAGTAAGTGAGTAGCTAAGTAAAGTTACTTGGGAGACAGGTAGGGAAATGGGCTTACAGCATCGCTGACCCCCCAGCTGGTGATTGAGACGCAGGCAGAGGTGGATAGGCAGGCATCAACGACGGTGGTATAATCGGATGCACTTGCACCGGCGATATCCAGCTCGGTGATAGCAACGTCTATACCCGCCTCTGCCAGTGCCGCTAGAGCTGCTGCTGCCCCGCTCGAGCCGCCGGCCTATGTATGGTCAACAACACATCCAAAATACCTCAGTGTGTGTAGACGTACAGATAAATGCATCTGTGTACCTATACCGTCGATTAGCTGTTCATCCGCATTAATCCGTTTGACAAGGGCAACCATTGCTGAATGGCAAGACGTAAGAAATTGGAGGAAGGAAGAGCGGCAGCGACCAGCCTTGGACCTTGGTGTTGTTCGAGTCGAGGTTGTAATCGTTGATATATAATCTGGTCCAAGTATCAGTGAGAAATAAGAAGAGCAAATCTGATCTAACTTTGCGGTAGAATCTGCGGCTCTTGCCGCCTTGAAGGCAATGGTAATGAAGGACTTGATGACCAGGTGAGTAATATCCTAACACTGGCCATAGCAGGATAAGGACTTACCTCTCCAAGAACATCATAGAAGACACTCGATCGCAGGGTACCGTTGTCATTTAGGACCTCACTGTAGATTGTCAGAATGCAGGGACGCAGAGGTAAGGGCCGACACACTTGCAGACATCCCACTGATCATTCTTCGGTAGGTCAATTCTCCTAAAACATAGGAAGGACACGTACAGCTATCCCCGAAGCGCGCGAGTCAGTGAACCACAAACAGTCAAGCGCCAAGCTTACCATAAAGTTTACCAGAGTACTGCCCAGCTACATTCGCGATATGTGTTTGAATGACGGACGTCTTTAATATGATCCCTTAATATCTGGGGCATTGTCGACTTGGGGTTATTAGCTAGCTCACCAGTGTAGCCGCATCGGTAATGGCAGAGACCCACGAAGGGAGCTGCGAGTGCCACACTGCAAAGAAGCGCATATCAGATTCCACAGCTCGAAACAGGGTCGTGGCCCTAAAAGCAAACCCAAAGTGTGTCCACGGATGATTTTACTGTTCGAGATAGCCCAATCCACGAGATAGTCAGATCCGGAGAAGGTGAACGTCCCTTGGGTGCTTTCGGTCGCATCCCACTAGTAATAATTGAGCATAAGATACGGATGGCCTGCCACGCGTGAACCGGCCGACCTTCATGGAGTTCTCGGGAGTCACCTACGGTTGTCAGGCAAAGGTAAAGAATCACAAGTCGAACGTACCGCCCCGAATTCGGATTCCAAAATGGCTTCGTTCGCTGAAAAGGAAGCCTGTCAGCATGTGGATTTGTACTGTGGCAAAAACGCACCGGAAATGGTGATGGTATCTTCATCGGCCGCTGCGCCCTAGGGCCAGTACTCAACATTATACAGGGTGGTGACTCGTCTATAACGAACCCAGAACAGCTTTCCTTTGGCCGTGAACTTGGTATTGAGGCCACTCAGCGCCGTAGAACTTGTCGCAGCAGCACTGGCGCACTGGAAAATTGCAGCAAGAGAAACGATAGAGAAGAGCTTGAGCATGATGAGAAAAAAGGGTTTTGTTGGTTAGAAGGGAAGGATCGTGAGTGATATATATTGAATTTTCCAAGTCATTTATCCGAGCCAAAGCATAAGACCGCCGGGACTGGAACCAAGCAAAGGCGACGGATAAATACCGTCAGTGCGGCCAAGAGCGTTGCCTATTGCAACAAGCCCAGCAATTTTCCGATATTCAACCTTAACAGTTCAATGGATACGAACTGGCACGCCAACTTGGAAGGCAGCCATAGAAAGGAATACCTTGCGTCACCAGCCTGAGCAAAAAAAAAAAGCAGTGCGGCAGGTTGGAGGTCCATGTATCAAATGGAAACGGACAGGACGGAGAAAACATGGCTCAACCAAAAAAATGCTTGGCTCCATACGACCGAAAATATGATCGGTAACGATCAACAACCAGGTCACGGTAGGCGGCCCGGGATCGCACGCGAGAGAAAGACACCCGAGTTGACTGCTTGTCACATTGGTTTCAGCTCGACAGCACGTCTGAGCGACGCAGAGATATGCCGATCTTCTGGAGAGCGGAATGGAGGCGTTGTGAGATGCGACGAAATAGCGCAGGATACCCTCAAGTACAACACAAATACCATGGCATCAGTGTATGCGCTTTCTCCTTCGCAGGCTCAGATTGAACTTGTGGAAAAATAGTTACTCGCTCCCCCAGGTTTCTGCCTCACTAGACGTTCTCCCGGGAATGCTGGGTGCTCCGCATCCAACATATTTAGCACGTTGACGTTACGCGTTGCTCCTCAGTCGAATTTTTTCATAGCTTTGGTTTCTCCGCAAGCTCGGTGTGGCTGTTGGTATGTGCAACGGCATCGAGGGCTCCTATTTTCTATTCTGTTCCAACAAAAACACTCAGTCGATTACAATACTCGAATATCACAGCCAAATTTAAAGATCAGCCGTTTGAGTGATGGCCATATCACCTGGGGGCTCCCTCCGGCCACCCGAACATCTCATATTCCTTTATGTTCGTGAAAACACGCTACGAGTCACGATTTCCGTGGGACCGGATTATACGAAATGTGCGGAGGGCAGCCGAATCCCATGATCTGTGGCAAGCAAATCGTTCCGTCTGTTACCGATTCCCACTCAGGTTATCCTTCAACGAGTCCATTGGAAAGCTCACGCAGTAACTGTGAGATCCAGATAAAAATATCCCTGCCGCCTTGTCTTCTACGATTTATTGAAAAGTTCAGTTGCAGGCTCTCGCACAATAAGGAGGTCCAGGAGGAGTCTAACCCTCAGCCGATATTACACAGGGCGTGGGAAGGGTGCCTTAACCGTGACTGACGAACACTCAGTCTTACATTCCATCCAGAATCGACGGACTCGAGGGACGTAGGCCTTGAGAGAAAGTGGGATAATTGACTCTTCCGCGTGGACCTTCCAGGTAGCAGAGTTTGGGAAGGTGCGGAAGAGAGATGTCAATTCTAGCAAAAGCGCCTTGTAGATTTGATGAGGATTGGCAGTCTCTCGACTGGGGATGCATTGGCGGAACGGATGTGCCAATCTACGGCTATACCGGATATGAGGTCCATTAAAACCACTTAGTGGGAGTGGATTGAACAAGGTTCCTTGATTTGCTCTTACGTTGTGTTTAGAGACACAACCTTCCTATGGCTCAGGCTGTACGACGTCATGAATGAGGCGACGCATCTGAGCTCAGCGAGAGACCGTTTCACTTGCGCATCTTTCTGCGCATCGTTCCAAAGGCTGTGGTACGAAAGCATATCGACGTGCAAGATGGGGCCGTTCGGGGAGAATTTTTCGAAGGAAGCGTAGCTCGCGAAGGTAATCATTGCTGAATTTGACGGTCATAACCGGGGTACGGGGCGGGCTGGAGGCCCATGGACAAAGATCCTTGAGACGTACCAAGCTTGGGCATCTTTTATGATGACCGTTGCATATGCCTGAGGCTGCTATACTATTGTTGATACTTGCTAAAGGAGTCGAGCCACAAAGATAAGACAAATTCATGGAGTCTCCGAAAAACATACGCGACTGAGAGACGCTGATTATCATTCACTTGTCCCAATATTCATGTGGAAGGATAGCAAGTGAAGCGGGAGGTTCAGACTCCTTGGAGTCATTGTTTTTTTTTTCTTTCAATTTGTCTATTCTTGTTTGCCATTCTGAAATTAAGATAAGGATATTTTTGAAGGATATTGAGGTTGCTTAAGCTGTAACTAAGTAATGATAAGTAAAATGTACATCGGTAGCTGCGCATGCCAACAGATGATCTTTGCCGCTAGTCCTTTCTCCGTCATGACAAGATTGTCGATGGTCATGAACACACTGCAACTGTGTAGATGATGCAATACTATTCGTGACCTGTATGTGCTGTGCATGATAGGTGACCGGTGTCGACTCTGAACCGACTGGGTCCAAAAGAGTCTACAGAAGCGCTGTACAGTAAAAGTTTAAAATCGTCATGCTACATAGTCAAAAGGCCCCTCCACCTTTAATTCACTGTACTTAGCCTGCCAGGGAAGTTACTAACAGCAAAACCTAGGCCTGGTTCCTGGTTTATGCATCAGACGCGAACCTTCTCCCGGTTCCGAGATCCTTCGAGGACAGATGTATTGCTTTTAAAAAGGTTGCTGATGATCAGAATCAATTTGTTTGGTCGCTATTTGGTCGGATTTGACGCGTAAACCATCGCCTTTAAGGAGCCACTTTCAACGCTACCAGATTAACCACAGACATCATGAGCCTTGCTAGGTTGACCTACCGGATTACATCCTACGACGAAAAGTTGGGTTGGGGCGCTTATGTGAGCTCAAGAGTCAAATCTCGCCGTGTGTCCCATCACTCACTTGAACAATAGAGCTCTGTGTTCAAGGCGACGGAACGAGGATCCGACAAGGTAGTGGCTCTCAAGACTTCGCGTGTCTCGGTGAGAGTGAAACGACCTATTCTCCGGCACGAGGCTCGTATCCTCCAACTTTTGAAAGATCATGCCGCTATTCCCATTGTTTATGGATACGGCCAATTGGAGCATTTCGAGTACATAGCTATGGAATTGCTGGGACCGAGCATTGAGCAGCGGGTACAGAACAACGAGAGAGGGATTGGCGTGATGTTGACGACCGTCACCCGAATCGTGGATCAAGTGGTGCGTAAATGCAAATTCGGATTTTTGGGAATAACTGATCCGGAGGCAACAGCTGGCGGGACTGGAGCATATCCACTCGCTCGGGATTGTGCATCGCGATATCAAGCCTGACAACCTCCTCTGCACACTTGATAATTCGACAATCAAGATCATTGACTTTGGACTCTCCAAGCCTGTTTCCCAACGTCATCCCAGCAAGTACGAGCCATTAAAGGATCGCCTGGCCATAGTCGGGACTCTTAGTTGGGCAAGTCTGAATTCTCACAATGGAATAGGTCAGTGCACATTACGCCATCTAGCCAGTAACGTCATTCATTCTTATCTCTATCACGTCGTAGATCTTTCTCTGCGCGACGACCTCGAATCCTTAGCTTACACCGCCCTCTTCCTTCTTCGTGGACACCTACCTTGGAAGCCTCGTCCATTCCTGGAGTCTCCGCTGCGCTCACAAGAGATAGTCCGACATATCAAAACGAGCTGTTCAGGCAAACATCTGTCTGGAGGCCTTCCAGCCGAATTTGGTGACCTGCTCGACCACAGCCGCTCCCTCGATTTTAACGAGCTTCCCGACTATGGAAAATTCAGGCCCCTATTTGTGAGTTTGCTTCAGAGGATAGGCGGCGACTCCTCCTCCGATGGACAACTCGACTGGACGCCTTGCAATCCACAAATCAGCGAACAGGTTATAGATGAGCCCGAGGTCGATATTCCTAGCGAAAACGAACATGACAACGACAGCAATAGTAACGATAGCCTTGGTGAGGACAGTTACCTCCAAAAGGAATTTGAATGTTGGTATCGTCAAGGAGAGCGAGGCAAGAGCTTGACCTTGCCCGCAGAGCAGGAGGCCGACCTCGATAGCTGTACACCCCAGATCATAAAAATACTAAAGTAAATCAGAGCAATCCTTTGTCTTTTCATCGTTATGTAACAGCTCTGAGCCCGAGCTTCTTTCCACTTGGCGAGCTGTGATTTTGGTAATTGCACCGTCTGATATTGAACAGACCGGGTTAATTTCACATTGCAGCCTGGACGTCGATAGCCTGAGTTCAACACTTAGCTCTCGCGTTTTTACACGCTTACCTGATTATTCCAGTCCAGTGGATAAATGGCATCTCTATAACGGTTGGCTGTTAGTGGAGTATGCCATACCAAACGCAATTTCCGCCCCAGCCGGAGAATACATATTACTGAGCATCTATCGAAAAATGCGCCACGTAAACATTGGAATCCCTCGCCGCGAACCGGCGCCGTATCCAAAATAAATAAATAAATAATAAGCTAAGACCGCTTAGATCCAGCGACTCGGAGAGAATATAATTGCAGATGATCACACCAAATGGGCGAGTCGGTATTTGTGATGTAGGTCTATATGTGTTTCATCAGCTCAACGCCACAGAAAAGAGAGTGTTGAACCAGTACGCACAATCGGTCTGCCTACTATGGCTCTGTGCTATGTCTACATTATTTTACCGCAGCGTGACCATCCTCTCGATGATTGTCGTTTTAAGCTTCCAGACGACGATGTTCTCAGGATAGTCGTTTCTAAATGACGAAATATTAACGGTCGACAGAGAGGATTCTAGTCAACGTTTCTGATCGTCTTCCAGATGAGCCAAAAACACAACAAATAATTGTCAGAGAAAGCGCTCAATAGCTCACCCATACATACCGACAACATAACTGCTCTTTCCCCAGAGCTTTTCCCGTCACCCCGGCAACGAACTGTGTCGCCGCTCCACGCCGAGTATTGTCTGGTCTATTCGAAGATGTCAGTCATAGTTCACAAGGTATGGGACCGATCAACCGACTTACATGGCCTCAAAACCACCGAAGTATAAAGGTCCTACAGCCAAGAGTTCTTACCGTCGTGTTTCCGTATGTCTCTCGCGTATGTAGAGGTGTCTATGAGAAGTAGCAGAAGATATTGAAGAAGATCTTACCCCGACCCTTTGTACTAACACACCCCCTCGGCTCACATTAAAAATGGGATTTCCACCCTTGAGTTCCACTGCCGAGGAAATGCTTTATGCACGCCCTTCATGACAGTGTGGGACTCAAGCCTCCTTATCTGTGCCGTCCTCTGGGTCTGAGAGTCCGGTACAGAGGCTCGATACCTGAGCCTGCTACCATCTGATCGAGACACAGTAATAGAACAACATATTTGGAATACTCACCTTGCGATGGTAAAAAATAACTGATGTAGACCTTCGTTTGTTCAGTCCTAAGTTGGCGTATCCACAATTGATGCTTATTATATCTCGATTCTGGAGATCTGATTCCTGGTACGTAAGTCATGGACACGACCTATACGGAAACACGTCACGTCACTTAAAAGCCACGGAAATCCCACAGCTACCTCAGTCAGCTGACATCGTCCTGCGAGCAAGGAATAAACAAACGATATGTCGCGCACTAGCAGATGTCGGCGCTAAACTAGAAGGCAAGAACCACGCCACATACGCGTTGCGACAAAACCTTCCAAGATTAGCGTCAGTAGGGGGAGGGGAAGCGTAATTCGAGAGACCGAGAGAAACATTCAGGAGAATTCAAAGCGTGTATCTGGGGCAGTAAGCACGAGAACGGCGGGCCGCACGTCAGACGTAGAGCCCAAAGGTGAGAGTCGCGTCGAAGAAGGGCTTCGGATAATTTGATCCGGCTTCCGGTTGACCGGTCCCGGAACTGTCTTGGGCCTCTATCGACGAATAATAAAGAGACATCTGACATCTGTACATCTGTATGGATATGCTCACTCTGACGGGGACCTGGTCCGCCTGTGATCCCAACAGAAGAGGCAGAAGCACTGATGGAAGATGTTTCTGCCCTTTAAGCCCGTGTGTAACGTAACGCGTGTCCGAAATGTTGTTAATCTGATACACCGCTAAAGAGTCACTGTAAGACTCGATCATTCACCATTAGATTTCAGCCCGTATGAGGCTATGAAGAACTGACATGTTATCAAGCCGATAAATTCTATCGTGTGTCAACGCCGCACAGCATCACTTTACGGCTTGGATTGGCGACCGTCGAGTTGCATCTAGATTTTTAACGCCATTGCTAAGAGGACTCTGACACAGTGACCTGAATTTGAGCCCGTCTTCTATAAGGCCCAAACTGGAGTGAATGAATCAGAATGGGAGTTTGACGCGCTTCGGCGAATTCGTTCTTTCTCTGAAATTCAGCAGAAAACACAGCTGTGCCATCAGATATGACATATGCATCAGAGATGTCTACAGAGAGTCTTGTTGTGTATTTCGTCGCCTCGTGTTCGAAGTTTGGAAGGAACATCTGTCGGAACTTGCCGGCGGTGTCCCAGCTGGCGGTGATTACCACTTTAGGCTTAACAGATCATGAACAGTCAGTCGATCATTGGTCGATCAAGAGCAAGAGATAATCGACGAGTCAGACGACGCCAAAACCCAATTAATTCGTCGCCTAAAAATCTCTTGTTGGTACAATTGGGGTTATACCTTGAATCCTCCCGTCAATCGCATGACACCTCTAGGATCTACCCTTTCCCTCGTAGCCTCCATTCTCCTTACCCCCTCTTCACCATACATATCCTTCACCGGAGTACCAGCAATGGCGTAGTTCGGGTACCTCGGTGCGCCCGGAACGCCGAGCTTCTGCGTGAATGCTCCCGCAGCAGCGTGAAATACACTGTCGTGGCTCTCCCCTACCCATTGAAAGTTAAGGTTGGTGAGGAGGACCGCACGCTCGCGAGAGCTTGGATATGCAGATGAGTTTGCGGGAGCATGATCAAAGATAGTAGGAAGGAATGGTTCAATAGAAAACGCGGTTAAGGAGGCTCCTTGTGTAAATAGGGTGGAGGCCGAGTGCTAAGAAAAAGGAAGATAAAGTAAGGCACGCATAGAAGAGCAAATGATGGGCCTCACGTTCAGCTCATCGATGAGGCCTTTGATTGTCGACTCTGAGTAGTCAAGCACTGGGATATCGTTAGATACAACTCTAGCAGTCGATATGAAAAATTAGCCATAGAAAATAGTAGCCAGGAGCTCGAAGCATACCTGTCATTATCGGCCGAAAATTCCAAAGACATGATGAAATCGTAAAACGAGCGAGACTTGATGTCTTTAGATAATGAAGGCAATGCAAGGAAGTCATCGAAGATACCACCCGGAGGAGTAGGGCCGTCGTAGAACATCATACCGGAGAGGGACAACTACAGACGACATAACGCAATGTCTTGGACAATGGATAGTGCTATAGATTACCTGAGCGGGAGAGCCAGAATACCCATATGTCATGATCATTGCTGCTTTAGGGTCACTGACTTCCGACGAGAATTTGGCCGACGCAGCTGTGAACACAGATATATTGTCCGCGCTGTACGAGGCGCTTCCTCCCTGTATAAAATGTTATTTGGTGACAAAGATGGAGGGTGGAGATTGCACATACCCAGACGGTGCTTTGTGGGAATGCCTTCAAAGTAAACCGAGTGACGATTCCAAAGTTGTTGTTGCCTCCCTGCCGTCGGAAGCATAAGCGCCAGAGAAGATAGGCTTAACACAGTATACCTTTAATGAAAAGAAAAGGTCCGCATCGCTGGCTTCGGTTACAGAGGTAATAGTGCCACTTGGCGTTACCAACTCGAATGAAACTATATTGTCAATAGCCAGGCCGTACTGGTTGCTGAGCCATGCATACCCTTCGAATTCGGTCACGATCAGGATGGAAAATACACAGAGATGAATGACCATGTACACACCCCCGCCGAGAGTGAAACCAGCCACGCCAATCCCTGATACCCTTGCCCCAAGAACGTTCACACCTTGAGCATTCAATATCTTGTAGACATCGTCCCAAATATTACCAGCACCAATAACTGCTGTCTGTGTCGTACAGTCATATGTAACCTCGTTGAACCGCGTCATGGCGATCTGAACGCCCGTCGTGGACGAGAAGCCTTGGTTCGTGGCGTGTCCGCCGCCTTTGACCTACAAATATAGGATCCCAGAGTTCTTGCAAGGTGAAGGACTCGGTACATACTCCAAATCTCGTATTCGTCTCTCCCAATATACCTAGCTAGAAAGCCTCATGTGAATGGAAGGTACGAAGTACAAATCTACACACGCACAATGATGCCAAGATCCTCAGCAGATCCAGGCTCAACGCTGCACATTGATGCCTGCGAACTTGATATCGCGTAGTGCTTGTTGTCTGCTGCGTATGAAGTGGATCCTGTAGGCGGTCAGCCAGCAGCGAGCGCAGAGGTGAATCCAGACTCACCAGGATAGTAAAGGTCTGTCGCAGACGAGACCTTGCCGGCGATGCGATGACAAACTTCGAGACCCAGCATAGTTCCCAACAGAGTCAGTACGAATGGTGTAACGAGAAGCATAAAATGTGAGGACAGAGGATGAAGAAGGGGCAGTGGCGTTTACGAGCCTTATAAAGTGCTATCAAGCGAATAAATAGGCTTCTGGTCCTTCAAGTCTGGATTACGCGTAGTCGGCATCACAGAGTAGCAAGTGATAAGCCAAAGATTCCAATACTGTCCAATTACTATACCACCGAAAGCTGCAAATCAACAAATGATCAGTCTGAGTTTGAGGAAAGGAATACATGAGAACATACTATGGCAACGGCAAGTCCAAGAAACAAATAGATTTAACACGATATTAGACGTGGGGCGAAATAATTTCATACAGACCGCCCGAAGCCTACCGAACTTGAAGCTCCCCCGGACCTCAGCACTTTTATACTAATTGTAATTTAGTAATTCCTTGCGGTATACAAATATACCGCAATACCACAGGGCTCTGGGGAAGGGCTGGAAGGGTCTGGAAAACGATAATCTACCAGGGGATGGGCCGAAGAAGAACGCTGAACTTGAAAACTGGACAGTGTTGCGTTCGTTGCGAGGCGGCCCGTCTGCGGCCCGCAACAGCTTTTCGAGCTGTTGATAATATTCCCACGCATCTTCTTTCATCAACCACCATGACCAGCATGCGGGTTCGCTGTCCGCGCCTATTCTTTTTTGTCAGTATTCCAGATACGAGCCAGGAAAATTTTGACTGCCCTTTGATCTCGTATACACAAGGAGCTGTGGTAGCGGAAATGAAGGCCGAGTAGATGCGCAGGACCTGGGTATCCTATATCATATGTGTGGTTGTGGTACATGTGCCCCGTTTTCTCAATTCCTGGGTTTTGCAGCTTATTTATTGATATTTGCATTATTTTCGTTGCTCCAAACTGGAATAATACAGCTGAATTTTGATGCTGATACGATGTTGTCGAAGAAAAGTTCCTTGCTCCAAGCAATGAATCCAAGTCGAGTAAGAACTGTACAATGATTCAGCTTTCTTGCGTGGGTGGCATCATGTTTTCATGCGGGAAAGGTTACGTTGTCCACTATACAGATGTTATCTCTGCTGATTCCTATCATCCAATTTAGATCAGCATCTGCTTTCCTATATAACACGGACGAGATTTTCGGATCCCCACTTATCTTAATCTATTGATTCCTTCACGTTCACGTGCACTTGATGGCGAGTGCTATTAGTATTCTATAGTTCATCCGTGTTTGTCCCTTAACCCACGACAATCGCCAGTCACATACATATTTCCTCATGGATCACGCGATACACTTTGATGATTGTAGGCGTGGAACATCTCCAAGCAAATGAAAGAACCATGATTTCGTAGCACATGATGGGGACGATGCTCGCTCGAGTTCAAGGCTAAGGGTCTGCGTCCTTTTAGATGATGAACGTTGTTCAAGTCGGCATTCCAGTCGTAATGCAGCCCGATTTTTGGTGACACATGGCAATGCGATCGATATACATACGTCCTTTCAATGCAGAACTTTGAGGCAGGTGATGTGACCTAGCCGCCAAGGTCAAGGACTACAAGAACTTCGACAATTGGGGTCGTTATTTGCATGTTGAGCTGGCCAAGTGTGGAGGCGCTTTTACGAGTTATGGAGAATACATCTGTATGAGCACACTAGACTGAATACTCACAGAGGTGGCAGTATGAGTGCATCAACTGAAGCATCACTTCGTCCTAATTCACGCATCCGTCTCGTGGACCTGGCGGAATGGCAACAACTGGGGTTTCGATTCCCCCACATCCAATTCCCAGCTCTATCAGTTCTTTTTTGTTTTGGCAAGATGGGGCAATTTTTCAATACAAGACATCCAATCCAACTGGCAATCTTAGTGTAATGGTCAATGCATGTTTCACCATGAGGTTCATTCGATGTTGTGAAGATAACATGAATCAATAATAACCAATCTTTTTATGCTTGGGGGTTCTGAATATGCAGCAGCAGTGTTCAATCAAGTGCTAACTGTAAAAAATGTTTATTTCTATAGCCAGGAAGCACATCATATCTACAGGATGTATAAATATCCATCACTGAACTGGAATCACTTCATTTTGGTCAGTATGAGACAATAGTGGGACTGCCTCAAACTATTCTTATGACTATTGAAGGATGAGAGGAATGCCTCAGCCATAGCTTTGTTCCTCTCACTGCATAAAGTAGATAGTCTGGTCATGTGAGAGAGAGTGCAATGCTAGCAGCATTGCATGTGCTGTGGAATGTTCTGGAAATGCTGTCATGATGTGATAGTGAAAAGAACTCAAATACTGGAATGTATTCAAGTTGTGTGTTTAAAGATGAAGGTCAGAAGGGCTGCTGAAACATCATGGTTTATTGCTGGATGCAGTGAGTACAATATGTAAGTAGTGACAATGTGAGTAATAATGTAAGTGACTTGTAAAGCAATTATAACAGATGAGCAAGGTACTAGTAGAGAGGATTAGCAAGCCCACTATTGGATACTGGGATAGTGCACCTATTATATTTTGAGATTGCTATCTGTGGTCTCAGTAAGGTTGCATAGGATGCCATTAGTAATATGAAATTGTTCAAATATTTCTGCAAGCTTGTTGATATGTGCTTTGTTGTAAGCTCATGATATGTTCATGGGTATGATATCCTCCATATAGCACCAGTAAAGCAGGAAAACTAGTGAGGTCTAGCTTTCTATTGTGGCTACAATTTCTGGAGAGACTCCAGTGAGAAGCAATTCCATGGCACTCCTAATGCAGAAGCTATAGCCTAGGATGTGAGCCATGGATGTCTTGGACTAAATATTCATGCAGAACTCAAGGAATATGGTCTTGTGCATATGTTGCTATGAGCCATCTGACTTGAGATAAGTGAAAAGAGAAGCATTGGAAGGGGTGGTCCTGTTCACTGATGTGAATACTGAGATAACATAGCAATTGTATATAGTAAAGTATTCTAATCAAGTTTAGTTCATTCACTTCAGAAAATAATTGAGAAGTGAAGAGGGTTGATAAGTGCTAAGCATAATCAAAGGAAGACTAATCAATCCAATAAGCACTAAGTGTAACTGGGAAAGATCAGGGGCAGCAAGCACTAAGCATAGTAATCTCAGATTCTTAGTTCACACAAAGCAACAATAAGTCAAAAGATAGATGGATTTTTATAGCTAGAGTAAGTGTTTATATGCTAGAGAAAGCTATGAAGAATATTCTAGTTGTACAGCATTTCATGAATCTTCTATGTATTTCTGGTAGTTTTGAGTAAGTAAATAGAGAAAACAGAACATTGAAGAAGTCAAGAGAAAGTTTGAGTCCTTGTTTAGGCATTCAAAGACTCAGTAAGACTAGGTAGAGTATATCCATAATATAGCCCCCTCAGTCTTCAGATGCTTAAATGAGTTGTTAGTCTGTGTGGGTGGTTGTGAGAGTAATGAGACATACAAATGTTGATAATGAGTAAGTAGCTTGTAAGTTCTATTTTGACATTATTATTATTGATGGACAAGTGACTCATTATTATGATTTTTTCAGTTATCTTATCTTATCAGATGCCTATCTAATCATGAGCACTTAACTATTATTTATCTGGCCAGACCAGTAATCCTGACTATATTAGACAACTCATGCCATTCTGCTATGGCTTGCAACCAATGTCTCACCAATAGATGATATATATTGTTTCATGCATGAACCATAAACTCTTAAGTTCCAGCTCACAGATATTCATAATAAGTAGGACTATATTTATCACACTCAGAAACATATAAAAGTAGTATTGCTCTTGCTGTAGTAGACTCAGCTTTGAGCTAAAGTTTATTCTATACTATTGTTATGATTTTTCCTTTCTTTTCTTTTTTTTCTTCAGATTAACCCCTATTCACACTTAGTCAGGGTGCTAGAATAAGCACTTAAGACTGTGGGATAAGGCTTAGTCATCACAACTAGCTAAATCCACCATTGTCTTTCAATGCAATGATGTTGCCTGACAATGCACAATCAATCTTTTATATATGGTAGTGATGCCCAAGGACAATGGGCATCAAGACAGAGATACACATAATAAGTATGTAGTATTATTGGCAGGCCTTGTACAGTATTTAAAGAGCTCACTCTTGCTGGTAAATCCCCAGCTTCAAGCTAAAGTTTATTCTATCTCATTCTACTCTCAAGCTAGTCATACAAAGTCTTGAAGCACAGGGAGTCAACATTAGTATATATAGTGAACTCTGATGGAAGGCTTGAATGTGAAGCCACATTGGTTTATCACATGCAGCTTGAGCCTAATAATTATTCTCTCTCAAGCAACTTGCAATGCCTTGAACCTCACACTGAGTCAGACATAAAAGTGGACTCTGGTGTGATTGTATAAACACAATACAATGCCAGTTTATCCTGGGTTTGCACTCATATAATGCTTGAATCTAACAATTAGCTCAAAGCTTGATCTGTCTCTCTCTCAGCTATCACTGAGAATATCACATAGAATCCACTCTTTACTTCACTATCACAGTCTTCATCTCCATCTTCATAGAAACTCTCCTATTTCTCTATACCTTCTACATTTACAGGTGGAAAATATACAACTGGTATCACCAACTATTAGCTCATTGGAACACCTACTGACAGAACACTTGACTCCTTTAGATCCATCCTTGCTCTCACTGATATTGAGTCATCAGCAGATATGAGTTTGAAACATCTGGACTTTCAATCTATCTTCTCCACTAGATCAAAGAGACCTGTCTCTCAGTGTTAGGCCCAAGTGACACATGACTATATACACATGGTAGACAGATGCTGTATCATGTTCATACAATCACATCTGAATTCACTTAGTGTATTTAATAGTGTTTGTGTCTCAAGGTCAATGCTTTAGTTGACTTGAGTAGAAGTGGTAGAATAAAGAATAGTTTGAGACTAGGGATACATGGCACTGACTACACTACTTATATACTATTTGTCTCCTAGATAAATATAGCATTATTAATTGTGAATGCCTGTGCTATAGTACTCATTGTCCTGGAGTATCATGGTTACCTACAAAAGGTGTTAAACTCAAATGACATGTGATCTAAACATGTGATAAACTGACACTGTCTTGCACTTTGGACAATGATGTCAGAGTTCACTTGATGTGTTATGTGGCTTTGTATCACAAGGCCTTTAGATTGGCTTGAGATAAAATGATGAAGAATAAAACTTTAGCTCAAAGCTGGAGATACTACAGTGAGAGCTATGCTACTTATATACTAGTCATCATCCATTCTATAGATATAACTACCTAATTGTGTGTACTGGCATTATAGAGTGTTTTGTCTAGTGTTGTTAAGCTACCTACAAAAGGATATTG